CATTCACTCCTGCCCGCACCACCCCTACCTTCTCCCTCCCCAGCACCGCCCCCACCCACTTCTCCCTCCCCAGACTGACCATACATGTCCGGGCTCTGCCAGGCGGTAGAAACGGCTGAGGAAGGACAACGCTGTAACCAGCAAGAGAAGGCCCTGAGCCCCGAAGCCGCGCTCCCTGACCATCCTGGGCTTGGAGCGAGGAGCCTCGATTACCAGTTGCTGTGCCTTCCGCTGGTTTAAACACCGGCTCCGCTCAGGCGCTCCTGCGAACATCGATAAACCTCCGTTTCAGAGTCCGCCGCAGGCCTCATCTCCACGGCAACCGCACTCTAAGGAGGGGGCGTGGATTCACCAGCGCAGCCAATCGGCAGGCACCAAGGAAAGCTACACCAATCAGCAGTCAGCAGGACGAGCCTACAAATCAATGGCTAGTATGATGGGACACCACCAATCAGCGGCGAAGGATGTATCGATGTCTGTACATCCCTTCTCTGTGCAGGTTGCTCCCTCCCTCCCTCCCTTCCTTCCTTCCTTTCAACTTTTCTAAAACAGGTTGCAATATCTGTCCCTGCCAGCAAGTGCCTGCACCCAGTCAACATTGTTCATTCCCGTGATAGTAGGAACTGCAGATGCTGGACAATCTGAGATAACAAGGTGTAGAGCTGGATGAACACAGCAGGCCAAGCAGCATCAGAGGAGCAGAAAGGCTGACGTTTCGGGCCTAGACCATTCATCAGTCGGATTTCACAAGCTTCAAAATCTCCCCTCCCCCTACCGCATCCCAAAACCAGTCCAGCTCGTCCCCGCCTCCCTAACCTGTTCTTCCTCCCACCTCAAGCCACACCCCCATCTCCTACCTACTAACCTCATCCCGCCCCCTTGACCTGTCCCCTCCCTAACTCCCCACCTACACTCACCTTTACTGGCTCGATTCCCGCCTCTTCGATCAGAGGAGCAGGAAGGTTGACGTTTCCGGCCAAGACCCTTCTTCAGAAATGGGGGAGGGGAAGGGGGTTCTGAAATAAACAGGGAGAGAGGGGGAGGGGGAGGCAGATAGAGGAGAAGATGGGTGGAGGAGACAGACAAGTCAAAGAGGCGGGGATGGAGCCAGTAAAGTTGAGTGTAGATGGGGAGTCAGGGAGGACGGACAGGTCAAGAGGGCGGGAAGAGGTTAGTAGGCAGGAGATGGGGGTGGGGCTTGAGGTCCCCACCTCCCTAACCTGTCCTTCCTCCCACCTATCCCCTTCTCCCAAAAAAAATCCCACTTCCTCAGACAAAGGGGGTGGGCATGGGTACCCGCATGGGCCCAAGCTATGTCTGCCTCTTTGTAGGTTATGTAGAACAATCCCTCTTCTGTAGCTACACTGGCCCTAAACCCCACGTCTTCCTCTGTTACATTGATGACTGTATTGGCGCTGCCTCATGCTCCCATGAGGAGCTCGAGTAGTTCATCCACTTCACCAACACCTTCCACCCCAACCTTAAGTTCACCTGGACCATCTCTGATAGCTCTCTCTCCTTAATGGACCTCTCTGTTTCCATCTCTGGCAACCACCTAGAAACCGATATCCATTTCAAGCCCACTGACTCCAACAGCTACCTAGAATACACCTCCTCCCACCCACCTTCCTGCAAAAATGCCATCCCCTATTCCCAATTCCTTCGCCTCCGCCACATCTGCTCCCAGGATGAGGCATTCCACTCCTGTACATCGCAGATGTCCTCGTTTTTCAAGGACCGCAAATCCGCTCCCCCCCCGCCCCCCACAACGGTCGAGAACACCCTTGACCGTGTCTCCCGCATTTCCCGCAACTCATCCCTCACACCCCCTCCCCGCAATAACAACCAAAACAGAATCCCCCTCGTCCTCACGTACCACCGCACCAACCTCCAGATCCAACGCATCATCCTCTGACACTTCCGCCATCTGCAATCCGACCCCACCACCAAAGACATTTTTCCCTCCCCACCCTTATCTGCTTTCCAGAGGGACCACTCTCTCCGGGACTCCCTTGTCCGCTCCACACTCCCCTCCAGCCCCACCACACCCGGCACTTTTCCCTGCAACCGCAGGAAGTGCTACACCTCCCCCCTCACCCCCATTCCAGGCCCCAAGAAGACTTTCCACATCAATCAGATGTTCACCTGCACATCTGCTAATGTGGTATACTGCATCTGCTGTTCCTGTTGTGGCCTCCTCTACATCGGGGAAACCAAGCGGAGGCTTGGGGACCGCTTTGCAGAACACTTACGCTCGATTCGCACTAAACAACTGCACCTCCCAGTCGTGAACCATTTCAACTCCCCCTCCCATTCCTCAGACGACATGTCCATCCTGGGCCTCCTGCAGTGCCACAACGATGCCACCCAAAGGTTGCAGGAACAGCACCTCATATTCCGCTTGGGAACCCTGCAGCCCAATGGTATCAATGCGGACTTCACAAGCTTCAAAATCTCCCCTCCCCCACCGCCTCCCTAAACCAGCCCAGCTTGTCCCCGCCTCCCTAACCTATCCTTCCTCCACCTATCCCCACCTCAAGCCCCACCCCCATCTCCTACCTACTAACCTCATCCCGCCCTCTTGACCTGTCCGTCCTCCCTGGACTGACCTATCTCCTCCCTAACTCCTCACCTTTACTGGCTCCATCCCCGCCTCTTTGACCTGTCTGTCTCCTCTCCACTATCCTCTCCTCTATCCATCTTCTATCTGCCTCCCCCTCTCTCCCTATTTATTTCAGAACCCCCTTCCCCTCCCCCATTTGTGAAGAAGGGTCTCGGCCCGAAACGTCAGCCTTCCTGCTCCTCGGATGCTGTGGAGTTTGCACATTCTCCCCATGTCTGCATGGGTTTCCTCCCGGTGCTCCGGTTTCCTCCCACAGGCCGAAAATGTGCAGGCTAGGTGGATTGGCTATGCTAAATTGCCCATAGTGTTCAGGGATGTGTAAATTAGGTGGGTTTATAGGAGGATGTGTCTGGGTGGGAAGCTCTGAGGTTTGGTGTGGACTTGTTGGGCCGAAGGGCCTGTTTCCACACTGTAGGGATTCTGTGATTCTATGTACACCTTATCTTCTGCTTGAGCACCGTACAGTCTGGAGGACTCAACATCGAGTTCCTTAATTTCAAATAAACTTCGCACCCATCGCCTGGCTTCCTTTCCAGTCCCACCTCCTCCCTTCCATTCCACTTTCTGACCCTCCCTTCCAGCCACCAACCTGATTCATCCCTCCCATCAACCAACCAGGTTGTACCTACCACCAGTGTCCACCTATCACCACCATTCCGGTGCCCCTCTCTCACCAGGGGTCACAGTATGAAGAGTCGGGGTGCATGACTTATGATGGAGATGGGAGATATTTTTTCACCCAAAGAGTGGTGAGCCTGTGAAATTCATTAGCACAGGAAGTATTTGATGCCAAAACATTGAATGTATTCAAGAGGCGACGAGATATAGCTTGGTGTGAATGGGATCAAGGGTAAAGGGGAAAAAGCAGGATTACGCTATTGAGTTGGACAATCAGCCATGATTGTGAAGAATGGCGGAGCAGGCTCGAAAGGCCATCCATTCCAGTCCCACCCCTTTAAACAGAGCCCCGCCCCTCCACCGCGAGGTCCCGTCCCTTCACACAGAGCCCCGCCCCTCCACCCAAAGCCCTGCCCCTCCACCCTGAGTTCCCGCCCTGCAACCCCTGGTCCCGCCCCCAGCCGGAACCCCGCCCCACCCAGGGTCCTGCCCCTCCAACTAGGGCCCCGCCCCTCCACCGCGAGGTCCCGCCCCTTCACACGGGGCCCCGCTCCTCCGCACAATTCCCTACCCCCACCCGGAGCCCTGACCCCACCCCGGGCCGAGCCCCTCCATCCAGAGCCCCACCCCTCCACCCTGAGGTCTCACCCTTCTAACCCCCAGGTCCCACCCCCGGCCCCTAGCCCCGCCCCTCCATTCCCAGGTCCTGCCGCTCCACACTGAGCCCCGCTTCCCCCCCGAGCTTCGCCCCTCAATCCCGAGTCTCCCCTTCTCCCCTCGCCCGGTCAGTGACGGTGCGGGTTCAGGGCTGGAATCGGACCGGAAGTTTGCGGGATTGGGCGGTGAGCTTGCTGTCGGTTCTCGGCGAATCTCCTCCTCAGGCCCGGGCCGCGTCTGCTGGTGATATTCCTGGGATCAGCTGGGAGGGGCCTTCGCTCCGGGCTTCATCCTCCCCCCGCTCTGCTCCCCTCCCTCAGGATCTCCCTCGTCCCCGGGCTCTCTCCCCCATTCCACCGCCTGCCCTTGTCTTCCCTTCCCTCTTTCCTGGTCGTTGGTGTGTGGCCCCCGGGGTTTGGCTCTGCCTGAGGCTATCTCCGAGTCCTGCCCTATTCTCTTTGCAGCACCAGTTGCGGAGATGAGCCCAGAGGAAGAGTTTGGAAGCTGTTTGGAAAATGCAGAGAGCTGGATGCGGATGATCCAGGAGCGCTTAGAGGCCACTGACAATGTCCAAGGACCAAAGGCTGCTTTAGAAAACAGACTGAGAGAGTCTGAGGTGAGGAAAACAGCTGGAAAAAAAAAATTACACAGGGCTGAGTCTAAGTGACATTACCCTGCCCTGTCAGTCATTGGGGTCTGCTTTCAGGTTCCTTCTGCCTGTTCAGATTGGTGCATAATATTCTGTGGTATGATTTTGAAGAACAGCAGTGGAGCCACCCTTGTGTCCTTGCCAGTATTATAGTATTCTTAAAAAAATGTAGGCTAAATATGTTGTTTTGTGATGCTAACACAGTCAAAACAAGAGCAGGATCAATATTCTTGTGTGGTCTGTGTCCCAGACTCTGGGCTGTTCAGTGCAACTGTACCCAGTGTACTCCTTTCACCACCAATGCTCAGTCGCAGCAGTGTGTGCTATCTACAAGATGCACTATAGAAATTCACCAAAAATCCTCAGACAACAGATTTCCAGAAGGCATTTGACAAGGTGCCACACCAAAGGCTGCTACATAAGATAAAGTTGCACGGTATTACAGGTAATGTATTGGCATGGATAGAGGATTGGTTGACCAGTGGATGATGATGGAATAGTTTAGGTTAGATGGGCTTCAGATTGGTTTCACAGATCGGCGCAACATCGATGGCCGAAGGGCCTGTACGACACTGTAATGTTCTATGTTCAGTAGAAAGCAAAGAGTAGAGGTAAATAGGTGTTTTTCTGGTTGGCAGCCAGTGGCTAGTGGTGTGCCTCAGCGATCAGTGTTGGGACCGCAATTGTTTACAATTTGCATAGATGTTTTGGAGTTGGGGACTAAGTGTGGTGTGTCAAAATTTGCAGATGACACTAAGGTGAGTGGTAGAGCAAAGTATGCAGAAGACACTGAAAGTCTGCAGAGGGATATAGATAGTCTAAGTGAGTGGGCAAAGGTCTGGCAGATGGAGTACAATGTTAATAAGTGTGAGGTCATGCATTTTGGTAGGAATAACAGGAAAATGGACTATGTTTTAAATGGTAAAAAATTGCAGCACGCTGCTGTGCAGAGGGACTTGGGTGTCCTTGTGCATGAATCGCTAAAAGTAGCATTGCAGGTGCAGCAGGTAATTAAAAAGGCAAGTGTAATTTTGTCTGCCATTGCTAGAGGGATGGAGTTTAAAAACAGGGAGGCTATGCTGCAGCTGTATAGGGTCCTGGTGAGGCCACACCTGGAGTACTGTGTGCAATTTTGGTCTCCTTACTTGGAGGGGGTGCACAGGAGATTCGCTTGGTTGATTCCAGAGTTGAGAGGGTTGGATTATGAAGAGAGACTGAGTAGACTAGGATTATACTCATTGGAATTCAGAAGAATGAGGGGAGATCTTATAGAAACATATAAGATTATGAAGGGAATACAGAAGGTGGAGGCAGGGAGGTTGTTTCCGCTAGCAGGTGAAACTAGGACTAGGGGGCATAGCCTCAAAATAAAGGGAAGCAGATGTAGGACTGAGGTCAGGAGGAACTTCTTCACCCAAAGGATTGTGAATCTGTGGAATTCCCTACCCAGTGAAGTGGTTGAAACTACCTCGCTGAATGTTTTTAAGGCAAGGCTAGATAAATTTTTGAACAGTAAAGGAATTAAGGGTTATGGTGAGTGGGCAGGTAAGTGGAGCTGAGTCTCATACAGATCAGCCATGGTCTTATTAAATGGCGGGGCAGGCTCGAGGGGCCAGATGGCCTACTCCTGCTCCTAGCTTCTCAACCCACAACCTCTTCCAACTAGATAGACAAGGGCAGCAGATACACCAGCATCTGCAGTTCTTTTGGTTTTTATTTATAAGGACATGAGCCAAAGGCAGGTATATGGAGTTAGGCCACAGATCAGTCTTGAATTCATCGAATGGTGCAACAGGCTCAAGGGGCCTACGCTATTGCTATGTTCCTATCACTTTAGGATTGGAGGTAGTGTATTGAGAGAGATATAAAACTGGTTGGCATGCTGGAAACGAAGAGTAGGAATAAACAGATCATTTTCCAAGTGCAGGCAGTGAGTACTGGGGTACCACTGTGACCAGTGATAGGACCGCAGCTCTACACAATATATATATTAATGATTTAGATGAGGGAACTACCCGTCATATTATGAAGTTTGCAGAAGGTGAAAAAGCAGGGTGGCAGGGTGAACTGTGAAGAGGATGCAGAGACGTTTCAGTATGATTTGGCCAAGTCAAGCAAGTGGGCAAATGCATGATAGCCACAGTATAATGTGGATAAATGCGAGGCTATTGACTTTGGTCGAAAAAATTGCGGACGGTTTTTTGTCTGAATGGTGATAGATTGGGAAAGAGGGAGGTGCAATGGGATCTGGGTGTCCTCGGACACCAGTCCTTAAAAGTATGCAGGTGCAGCAGGTGATGAAGAGGGGAAATGGTTATTTGGTCATCAGAGCAAGAGGATTTGAGGATAGGAGCAGGAATGTCTTGCTACAATTGTACAGGATCTTGGTGAGACCAAGTCTCACCCGGAGTGTTGTGTGCACTTTTGGTCTCCTTATCTGAGGAAGGGTGCTCTCGCTATTGAGGGGGTGCAAAAAAAGGTTTACTAAACTGTTTACTTCTTCCCCTCCTACACATTCTTCATACATACCAACCCTTTCTTAGCTACAATCCGTTCTGCTTTTGTTTTCTGATTTGTGATTCTTTAGTGTTTTTTTCACCAGACTGATTTGGGGTGGCACGGTGACTCAGTGGTTAGCACTGCTGCCTCACAGCACCAGGGACCCGGGTTCGACCCCACCCTCGGGCGACTGTCTGTGTAGAGTTTGCACATTCTCCCCGTGTCTGTGTGGGTTTCCTCCGGGCGCTCCAGTTTCCTCCCACAGTCCAAATGTGCAGGGTAGGTGGATTGGCCATGTTAAATTGCCCATAGTGTTCAGGAATGAATAGATTAGGTGGTTATAGGGGAATGGGTCTGGGTGGGATGCTTTGGGGTTCGGTATGCACTTGTTGGGCTGAAGGGCCTGTTTCCACACCGTAGGGATTCTATGATCTATGTTTCTATGATTCGAGGGATGATTCACGATTTGCCAGGAGAAACTGGATTGGCTCATAATCCCATAAGAAATGGGAACGGGAGTAGGCCACCTGGCTACTCAAACCTACTGTGCCATTCAGTTAGATCATGGCTAATTTTTACATGGACTCGGCTCCACTTACTTACTCACCCACTCACCACAACCCTTAATTCCGTTACTGTTCAAAATCTATCTGTGCTTTAAAAATATTCAACAAGCTAGCCTCAACTGCTTCACTGGGCAGGAGATTCCACAGTCCAAAGATGTGCAGGCTAGGTGGATTAGCCATGGTAAATGTGGGGTTATGGGGATAGGGTAAGGGGGTGGGTCTGGATGGGGTGCTCTTCAGAGGGGCAGTGTGGACTCAGTGGGCTGAATGGCCTGCTTCCATTACTGTAGGGAGGCTATCATTTAGACTCTCAACCCTTTGGATGAACAAGTTCCTCCTCAACTCAGTCCTAAATCTGCTCCCCCTTGTTTTGAAGCTATGCCCCCTCGTTCTAGTTTCACCTGCCAGTGGAAACAACCTCCCTGCTTCTATCTTATCTATTCCCTTCATAATTTCAACTTTCTATAAGATTCTCTACCCCACCCCTGGCACCACCCCCCCCCCCCCCCCCATTCTTCTACATTGCAATGTGTATAATCTCAGTCTACTTAATCTCCCTTTGTAAGCTAACCCTCTGAACTCCAGAATCAATCTAGTGAACTTCATGTGCAGCTCCTCCAGTGCCAGTACCTCCTTTCTCAAGCAAGGTGACCAAAACTGCACACAGTACTCCAGGTGCAGCCTCACCAGCACCCTGTACACCTGCATGAAGAAGTTGTCCCTCAGGTCCTTCTTAAATCCTTCCCCTCTCATCTTAAACCTATGCTGTCTAGCTTTCGAATCCCCATCCCTGGGAAAAAGACGATATGCATTCATCCTATCTATGTCCCTCATGATTTTATACACCTCAATAAGGTCACCCCTCATTCTCCTACGTTCCAAGGAATAAAGTCCTATCCTGGCCAACCTCTCCCTCTAACTCAGGCCTACTAGCCCTGGCAACATCCTCGTAAATCAAGAATGGTGTGTATATGGAACGGGCTGCTAGAGAAAGTGAATGAGGCAGGTACAATTGCAACAATTAAAATACTTTGGATAGATACATGGATGGGAAGGGTTTAGAGGGATATGAACCAAATGCGGGCAATTGAAACTAGCTGAGTGGGCACCGTGGGCAGCATGGACCAGTTTGGCTGAACAGCCTGTTTCCATGTTGTATTACTCCATGACTCTAAGTAATCGAAGTAATGGTGTCAAAACAGAACAATAAGGAAGATTTTACAGATACATAACAGTATGGTGGGATTACATGTAGCACGACATGAACCCAAGATGACGGTTGAGGCCGTCCTCGTGTACGGAACTTGACTGTCAGTTTCTGAATGTGATTCTGCATTGTCATGAATGCTGGAGGATACTTACCTGAAGTTCAGAGGCTGAAATGTCCTTGACTGTTTTAAGTGTTCCCTGGCTAGGATGGATCACTCCTGCCTGCTGATTAGTGTGTAGTGTCTGTTCATCTACTGTTGTCACTTCTGCATGGGCTTGCCACTATATCATGCCTTGGGGAATCCTTTCCTGCAGAGTATGAGAGACAGCATTTTCTAAGTTGCATGAGTTTGTACCACTTCCCTGCTGCTTGATGTACCTACGTGTGTTGATAGTTTCCATGTCAATGATCTGACAATCTCTGTCTTGCACATATTGTCATGGCAGGTTGTGTGCAGTGTCGTGGTTGCTGTTCTGCTTAATACTGTAGTTTGCTATGAACTGTGGTCTGTTTGAGGTTAGGCAGCTGTTTGAAAGTGAGTAGTGGAGGTATAGGGGTGACCTTGGCGAGATGTTTGTTATCATTGACATGCCAAAGCCTGCAAAGGACATAACATAGTTTCTCTGCTCTGGGGAAGTACTGGATGATGAGGGGTACTCAGTTGGTCGTAACCCGTATTTGTCTTGTGAGGAAGTCATTGCAGATTTTCACTGTGACACATTGGAAATGTCGATCAATCAGTTGAGCATCTGTTGGTTCCCATCTTGTTTCTCCTTGTCTGAGATGATGCTCTGTATATACAGGGCTTGTCCGTAGGGGATAGCTTCTTTAATTTGTTTAGGATGAAAGCCAGAGAAGTGAACCTCATGATGCTATATTGCAGAATCACCAAGCAGAGACTGATTGCCAAGTTCTGTACCCATGAGAACGGCCTCAACCATGATCTTGGGTTCATGTTGCGCTAAATGTAACCCCACCAAATTGTTCTGTGTTTGTAAAATCTTTCTTACTGTTCTGTTTTGACACCATAACCTTGATTACTTATGATTATCTCTCTACCTTAATTGGTTTGTGCAGTTTTGGATTACTTGTTACTTTGGTTAAACCCTCATCATGCAACTCTGACACCTATCGTGTTATTCCGCTCACAAGCATTCCAGTTAATTGGTTTGTCTCTAGAACCATCTTATTTTTAATTATTTGTAATTATCCCTCTGCCATAATTAATTGGTTCAGAGGTTGTCCCTTCGCTTGTTATTCAGCTGTTGATATTTTACTCACACTGTTTGAAACTCTTGGTCACCTGCAACGACTTGTTATTCAGCCTGTCGACTCTCCACTCACACCATTTGTACTATCTTTTGACACGCTTAAGTACCTGGAGTTATCTTGCCATTATCTCTCTGCCTCTACATTGTGTGCCTGTGCACCTCCCTCCACTTCAGCTGATGAAGGTGCAACACTTTGAAAGCTTGTGATTTTAAATAAACCTGTTGGACTATAACCTGGTGTCGTGCAACTTCTGACGAATGTTATAGAAGCAGTACAGAGAACGTTCACTGGACTTTTTCCTTGAATAAAGTGTTAGATTATGAGGAAAGGTTGGATTTATAACCGTGCGTGTTAAGAAGAATAAAAAGTATTATTACTGAAACATAAAGGGACTTGTTGGGGTGGATACTGGGTAGATGTTTCTTCTTGTGGGGGAGACCAGAACAAGGGCACAGTTTAAAAGTAAGAGGTCTGTCTTTTCAGGGAAGATGAGATTGTTTGGCTGTTGAATTCTTCCCCCAAAAAGTGCAATGGATGTTCGGTCATTTAATTTATTCAGGGCTAAGAGAGTACCTCAATGGACAAGAGATTCAAGGGTATTCAGGGGTATACAGGAGAGTGAAGCCAAGACCACAGCTGAATCAGCCTTCAGCCTGTTTTAAGGGTGAAGTAGGCTTCAAAGCCTGAATGGCCTAAGAACGCAGGAAATTGAGGCAGGAGCAAGCCTTTGAGTCCATTGGGTCTACACTGCCATTGAGTCAGGTCATGGATGATTATCTATCTGTGCTGTTTTTCCCCTATTATGTCCACTTCTCTTGATGAAAGCTTTAGCTTATGAACAGATAAAAACCAAAAGAACTGCGGATGCTGTAAATCAGGAACAAAAACAAAGTTGCTGGAAAAGCTCAGCAGGTCTGGCAGCATCTGTGAAGGAGAAAACAGAGTTAATGTTTCGGGTCTGGTGACCCTTTCTCAACTGATGGTGGCTGGGAAAACGTTAGTTTATACGCAGAAAATAGGGAGGCGGGTAGGGTAGAGAGTAAACGATAGGATAGAGCCCAAAGAGAGAGAGAGAGACAGTTGGACAGACAAAGGATTTGCTAAAAATCAGGCTGGGAGGGTGAGTAGTTGTTAATAGGGACTGTTAGTGACTAACAACAGGGGGTGTGTAGTGGCACGCTATGTGGTAACAAGGCTCGGTGTGTGGGGTGGGGGGCTGAGCCATGGGAGAGTTTAGGCCCTAAAATTATTGAACTCAATATTGCGTCTGGAGGGCTGTAGGGTCCCCAAGCCGAAAATGAGGTGTTATTGCTGCAGCTTGCGTTGGGCTTCACTGGAACACTAGCAAGCCAGAGACACAGATGTTGGCCAGGGAGCAAGGTGGTGCATTGAAGTGGCAGGCAACAGGTAGTTCAGGGTCTTTTTTGTGAGCAGAATGTAGATGTTCTGAGAAACGGTCGCCATGTCTACGCTTCATTTCCCCAATGTAGAGGGGACCACATTGTGAGCAGCGAATGCAGTAGACTAGATTCTGGGAAGTGCTTCACCTGGAAGGTATGTTTGGACCCTTGGATACTGGGAAGGGAGGAGGTAAATGCGCAGGTGTTGCACCTTTGCTGGTTACAGGGGAGGGTGCCATAGGACTGTGGTGAGGTGTTGAGGGTGAAGGAAGTGTGGACCAGGGTGTCCCGGAGGGAATGGTCCCTGCGGAAGGCAGACAAGGGAGGGGAGGGGAATATGTGTCTCGTGGTGGTATCTTGCTGGAGGTGGTGCAAATGGGGTCTGATGATCTTCTGGATGTGGATGCTGGGGGCGGGGATGGTAGGTGAGGATAAGGGGAACCCTATCGTTGTTGTGGGAGGGAAGAGAAGGGGAGAAGGCAGAAGAGCGGGTGATGGGTCAGACCTGGTTGAGGGCCCTGTCGAAAACGAAGCTGGGGAATCCTCGGTTGAGGAAGAAGGTGGACATTTCAGAGGCTCCCATGTCGAAGTTGGCCTCATCTGAACATATGCGACGGAGATGGAGGAACTGAGAGAATGGGATGGAGCCTTTACAGGAAGTGGGTTGTGAGGATGTATAGTCCAGGTAGCTGTGGGAGTCAGTGGGTTTGTAATGGATATTAGTGGCCAGTCTAGCCCCGGAAATGTCGAGGAACGGAAGGGAAGAGTCAGAGATAGACCAGGTGAAAGTGAGGGCAGGGTGAAAATTGGAGGCGAAATTGATGAAGTTTTCCAATTCTCGACGAGGGAGGGAAGCAGCACCGATGATATCATCGACGTATCGGAGTAAGAGTTGGATGCCCAAAGAGTTGTGGGTGGGGGCCGGAATAGGACTGGAACAAGGAATGTTCCAAGTACCCCACGAAGAGATAGGCATAACTAGGGCCCATGCGGGTACCCATGGCAACCTATCTTGCCTGAGAGGAGTTGAAAGAAAAGTTGTTGAGGGTGAGGACAAGCTCTGCAAAGCGGAGGAGGGTGGTGGTGGGTGGGGATGGTTCAGGTCTTCGCTCCAGGAAGAAGCAGAGAGCCCTAAGACCCTCCTGGTGGGAAATGGATGTGTAAAGGGATTGCACATCCGTGGTAAAGAGGAGGTGGCTGGAGCCGGTAAACTGGAAGTTTTGAAACCGACGTAAGGCGTCAGATGAATCATGGATGTATGTGGGTTGGGATTGGACCAGGGGGAGAAGACTGAGTCAAGGTAGGAAGAGATGAGTCTGTGGAGCACGAGCAGGCTGGAACAGTGGGTCTGCCTGGACAGTCCTGTTTGTGGATTTTTGGCAGGAGATAGAAATGAGCTGTGCGGGGTTAGGGTCTATTAGTTTAGAAGCGGAGGTGGGGAGATCACCGGATGAAATGAGATCCGTAACCGTAGTGGATACAATGGCCTGATGTACCATGGTGGGGTCATGGTCCAGGGGAAGGTAGGAGGAGGTATCCGAGAGCTGGCACTCAGCCTCTGCAAGGTAGAGGTCAGTATGCCAGACTACAACAGCACCACCTTATCGGCAGGCTTGATGACAAAGTCAGGGTTAGATCTGAGTGCATGGAGTGCAGTCAGTTTGGAAGGAGATAGGTTGGATTTGTTGAGAGGGGCAGTGAAATTGAGGCGACTAATGTCAAGTTGACAGTTCTCAATGAAAAGATCGCGTGCAGGTAAAAGACCAGAGGGAGGGGTCCAGGTGGAGGGAGAGTGTTGGAGTTGGGCAAAGGGGTCTGTGGGACAGGGAGTGGACTCTTGTCCAAAGAAATGAGCACGGAGGCGAAGACGGCAGAAGAAGAGTTCGGCGTCATGTCGTGCCTGAAATTCGTTAAGGTGGGGACGCAGAGGAATAAAACTGAGTCTGTCTTTCTCTCTCTTTGGGCTCTATCCTATCGTTTATTCCCTACCCCACCCACCTATTTTCTGCATATAAACTGATGTTTTCCCAGCCACCATCAGTTCTGAGGAAGGATCACTGGACCCGAAACGTTAACTCTGTTTTCTCCTTCACAGATGCTGCCAGACCTGAGCTTTTCCAGCAACTTTGTTTTTGTTAACTTATGAACAGGTTGGGCCTTTACGGATTGGAATTTAGAAGAAGTGGTGATCTTATTGAAGTCTATACTCCTAATCAGTCTTACATTCAAGTAAGCAATGTGCTCGATCATTTGTTCTATTATCTTAGGTTATCTTAGCAGAAGAGCCTGAAGGGAATCTCCGACTGGGAAGGGCGCTGGTGAAGGCAGAATCTCTCCTTCAAGGCAGAAGTGACGATGAGAAGCATGAAATTCATGCGGCAATGAAACATATTAAAACCCTGTGGGAGGATACTCAAATCAATATGGCCCATTGTCACAGGTAGTGTCTCTTAAAACCTGAAGGAAATATTACAAAATTACATAACTGTTACATTAAGACCATTTGGCCCTTTGTATCTGCACCATCTCGGTGAACGTTTGTGCCACCATTTCAGATGGTGATTGCAGATTTGTTACTCTGCATTCTTCCCACCAGTTGATCTACAGATTAGAACATGTGATGTAATGATATACCTAAATTGATTTTGTCTTTGAACTCTCTGAAATATCCTCTTTCTCAAGTATTCTCCTTCACCAAAAATACCACCTCTTCTCCTCTTCCTTCCCTATATTTTCTGAACATCTCGGAAGCAGTAATATTTGACACTCATATATGCAGGCTCTTGATGCAAATCTCCATTATTGCCACAATATCATAATCCCGCATAGCAATCTATGCCTGTAATTCCCCAATCTTATTGACTATACTCCCAAGTATTTACATACGTAACCTCATTTAAACTGCATTATTTTACTGCCTTACTCCATCTTTACATATTTACTAACTATTCTCTATTCTAGTGCTATCTACCATTACTAGCATTTTGTGTGCACTGGTATCACTTTCTAATATTCTATCCTGGTTGCCACACCCCTGCTGAGTTCTGAGGAAGGATCTCCGGACCCGAAATGTGAGCTCTGATTTTGTCTTCACAGATGCTGCCAGACCTGCTGTGCTTTTCCAGCAACTTTGTTTTTGTTCTTGTTTTTGCCCCTGCTGAGTTAGTTTGAAGCCTTCTTAATAGTACCAGCAAAACACCCAGAGGGAGCACAGTCCTGGCTCTATTCAGATGCAGCCTGTCCAGCTTGTACAGACACCATCTTGGCCAGAGTCAGTCCCAATGCCCCAGAATGAAGCCCTCCCTCCTGAACCATCATTCCAGCCACATTTCATCTGTCTTATCCTCCTATTTCTCCACTCATTTGCACATGGCAGTTGGAATAATCCAATGGTTACTATTTTTGTGGTTCTGCTTGCTAATTTTTTGCCTTGCTCTCTGTTTTGAATTGCAGGACCACATCCTCCTTTGTTAATACCAATGTGAACCATGACCTCTGGCCTCTTGGTAAAATGTCCTGCACATGTTCTGGGACATCCTAGCACTTTTTGCCCTTCCCTTCTGTACAGCTGAGCCATCTGAGGAGTCACAGGCTTGGCTCTTACTGCGTTTGTCCAAGGAACCATCATAGTGGCTAATATCCAGAACGGGGAATCAGTTTGAGGGGGTGGACTTGAGGAGATTCCTGCACTACCTCCCTGTTCTCTCGGTTTGCCTGGCAGTCATTACTATTGCCTCTTGCTCAAGTTCAGAATGTTAAAGTTTTGTTTAGGGTTTCCCTGCTCTTGTGGCATAACAGTTTCTTCATTGACAGGTTAAAGGCATACATCGTCAAACAGTTTTTACACAAACAGGAACAATGTGAGACATTGGGATTAACACAATTTTCTTGTTCTCTTACAGTCGGATTGAATGGGTTTTGCTGCACTGGTCTGAGTATTTGAAGGCGAGGGAAGATTATTTTCTTTGGTTGATGAATATGAAACAAAAGCTGGAGCCCGATCTTGAATTACAGCTTGGTCTCAAGGAGAAGAAATTACAATTAAGCCATCACACAATCCTACTCAGTAACATTTTGAACCAGGCTCCTCTGCTTGAGCGACTCATCCAGGAATCTGGGTCCTTATTTGCAAAGACTGAAGATGAGACCGTCAATGAGGCAGCGCAGCAGATATTAAAAGCTGATCATGAAGCACTTGAGATGAAAGCAAAGGTTGAATATGCTACTGTTGTTTGTATAGTTGTCTGTGTGCCATTTGTCTGTGCACATCTCTCTCCCTGCATCTGTGAGCACTTCTCTCCAGGTTGCATTGGGCAAGATGGCCAGTTTCTGTGTTGTTTAAGTGTCTGTTTAATTCTTTGCACAAGTGCGTATGAAAAAATTAGCCAAGGAAGCTCAGCTGTATTAACTTTGGTTAGACCCCAGCCGAATACTGTGTTCAATTCTGGCAGGATTGTGATGGAATGCTCTTTGTTTGCTTAGATGGTTGCAGCTTCTGCAAGAAGTTTGACATTATTTCTCAAAGGCAATGAAGGTTGGGCAATCAATGTTGGCTGAGCAAATGATGCCCACATCTCATTAGCATTCCATGAGCACTGTGGCAAAAGATCAGTAACCAGAATATAGATTAAAGAAAATTTGCAAAAGACAAGAGGCTTCGTGAGATTTTTTGTTTTGCCAGTGTTGTGCAAAGTTTGGCAGAGAGTAGGAGAAGTATTTTCCAACCTGGAATGGGTAGGGTTGCTGGCAATACCAAGAGGTAATAGCTGGATAAAGAATAAACTGATGGTGAGTTTTCCTGTTTCAGGAAAAGGTGAAGATTTTGGAAGCAATTGTACAAGAGCATCAACAATATGCAGACAGGCGGGAGAAATTCCAGAACTGGCTGCAGTGCATGAAGGAAAAAATTAACAACTTCAACACGTGCACAGGCGACAAGAATCAGATGGAGAGATCACTTAGAGAGCTAAAGGTAAATAATCTGAGAATGTACAATTAGAAATGCTTCATAACTGAGATGCCCTGGGTATGATTATAATTTGATGGAATTTTGGTTTTACATTGAGGGAGAGAATTGTCTTTTTAGTCATTCATGAGGTGTGGGCGTCACTGGCTGGATCACCATTTATTGCCCATCTGTAATTGCCCATAGGGTAATTAAGAGACAACCACATGGTGGGGTGGGGAATGAATGCTCGCCCAGCCTGCGTTCTGTCAATTAATTTTCCAAAAAAAATTTCTGAGAGTCTGGAGCCCCATGTAGGCCAGATGGCAGGTTTCATTCTCTGAAGGGCATTAGAACAGGATGGGATTTTCCTGACAATCGTCAATGATTTCATGGTTGTCATTAAACTCTTATTTCCAGAATATTATTGAATTTAAATTCCACCATCTGCCTTGGTGGCATTCAAACTCTGATCCCCAGAATATGACTTGGATCTCTGGATTAATTGTCTGCGAGAATACCATTGGCCATTGTCTACCCCTGACTGAAGCCTTGTGTTTCATATTTAAATAAGGGGGTGATGACAGTGCTGGGTAAAGTGAGCTGGGAAGCCAGGTTAAGGGATACATCACTATAGATATTATCAATGATATTTAATGAGATGTTTCACAAAACTCAGAGGGAAGGGGGCTGCTCAAAAAAGCACACTTTCATTTTGAGTTTAAAATTGGCACAACTTTGCCAGTTCTGTGGTCAGCAAGGACACTTCAGAAGGAGATGTCATGCCACAGATCCCATCTCGAGTTCAGGCCCCGGAGTAGGGCTTGAAACCACAACCTTGTGATTTAGAGGTGAGAGTACAACCCACCTGCAGAGATGATTTTCAATGTCATGACAGAGGGAGCTTGGAGAAGCAGGGATCTTGGCTTGCTTCTCCACAGATCCCTGAAGGTGGCAGGAAAGGTTAACAGGGTAATTATAAAGGCATACAGTACACTTGCCTCTATCAGTCGTGGCATTGAGTATGAGAGTACGGAGGTTAAACTGGGGCTGTGCAGAACTTTGGTTAAGCCACAGGTGGAGTACAGTGTGTAGTTCTGGTCACCACACTGTAGGAATTGCACAGGCTTGGGTCATGGGAGATTCGCCAGGACATTGCTTGTATGGAGCATTTTCGCTATGAAACAAGGCTGGACATAGTCTGGTTTAAAAAAAAAGAACAGAATAGAATCCCTATAGTGTGGAAGCAGGCCATTCATCCCATCGAGTCTGCACCGAACCTCTGAAGAGCATCCCACCCAGACCAACACCCCTACCCTGTTCCTGTAACCCTGCATTTCCCGTGGCTAATCCACATAGCCTGCACATCTCTGGACTGTGGGAGGAAACTGGAGCACTGGGAGGAAACCCACGCAGACACAGGGAGAATGTGCAAACTCCACACAGACAGTCGCCCGAAGGTGGAATGGGTTGTTTTCCTTGGAGCAGAAAAGGTTGAGGGAGGACTTATTTTTTTTCTTCTTTATTCATTCACGGGGATGAGGGACATCGCTGGCTAGGCAGCATTTATTGCCCATCCCTAATTGCCCAGAGGGCAGTTAAGAGTCAACCACATTGCTGTGGGTCTGGAGTCACATGTAGGCCAGACCAGGTAAGGATGGCCGTTTCCTTCCCTAAAGGATATTAGTGAACCAGGTGGGTTTTTCCAACAAGCAAATATGGATTCACAGCCATTGTTAGATTCTTAATTCCAGATATTTATTGAATTCAAATTCCACCGTCTGCCGTGGTGGGATTCGAACCTGGATCCCCAGAATGTTATCTGGGTCTCTGCATTAACAGTCCAGTGATAATACCATTGGGCCATCGCCTCCCACTAAGGTGTACAAGGTTATGAACGACATGTACAGGATGAATGAAAGTAGCTGTTCCCTTTAGTTGAAGGGTCAATAACAAGTGACCATAATTTTAAAGGTGAAAGGCAGGGGGTCTCGAGGGGATTTAGGGAAAAACCTTTTAGTGTGGTGGGAATCTGGAAAGCACTGCTTGGGAGGGTCGTTGAGGTGGAAAACCTTGCAACCTTTAAACAGTGTTTGATTGAGCATTTGAAATGTCATAACATTCTAAGCTATGAGCCTAGTGCAGGAAAGTGGGACTAGTGTAGTTAGCGGTACTTTTTGGCAGTGCAGACTTGATGGGCCAAAACAGAAAACAAGCAGCATTAGGGCATTCAGCCCTTTGAGTCTGTTCTGTCATCCAGTATGTTCACAGCTGATCATGCATCCCAGTTCTCTGTTCTTGCTTACTCTCCATAACCTTTATCCTATTAGCTCTAAGAACTATATCGAACTCCACCTTGAAAACCTTCAATGTTTTGGCTTCAACCGCTTTCTCTGGCAGAGAATTCCGCAGGCGAAGTAATTTCTGGGTTAAGATATTTTTCCTTATCTACACCATATCCTTAGGTTGTGGACTCCCTACTAATAGATCATCCTTCCTGCATCTCTTGAGTCCTGTTTGAATTTAATAGGTTTTGATGAGATTTTCCTCATTCTTCTCAACTCCAGTGAATCTATTATCTCCTCAGCTGTAGAGATGTACAGCAGGGAAACAGACCCTTTGGTCCAACTTGTCCATGCCGACCAGATATCTTAGATTAATCTAGTCCCGTTTGTCAGCATTTGGCTCATATTCCTCCAAACCTTTCCTATTCATATACCCATCCAGATGCCTTTTAAATTTTGTAATTGTACCAGCCTCCTCCTCCACCTGTGGCAGCTAATTCCATACACGTGCCACTCTCTGCATGAAAAATTTGCCGCTGATGTCCCTTCTGAATCTCTCCCCTCTTACCTTAAACCTATGCCCTCTTGTTTTGGGGATAGTAGGAACTGCAGATGCTGGATAATCTGAGACAACAAGGTGTAGAGCTGGATGAATGGAGCAGGAAAGCTGACGTTTCGGGCCTAGACCCTTCTTCAGAAATGGGGGAGGGGAAGGGGGTTCTGAAATAAATAGGGAGAGAGGGGGGAGGCGGATAAAAGATGGATAGATTACGAGAGAGTTGCAGTGGGAGAAAGATCCACTGAGGTCTTTCTGGAGGGAGGAGGGTAACTTCTTCAAGGTAGGCATCCTTAGAAGAGGCTTTGCAGTGGGGTTAAAATTGTTAGTTTTGGATTGCCCTACCCTGAGAAAAAGACCTTGGCTATTCAGCCTATCAATGCCCCTCATGATTTTATGAACTCATACAAGGTCACCCCTCAGCCTCTGATGCTCCAGGGACAATAGCCCCAGCCTATTCAGCCTTTCCCTGCAGCTCAAACCCTCCAACCCAGGTAACATCCTTGTCAATCTTTTCTGCATTTTTTGATGTTTAACAATGTCTTTCCTATATCATCGAGACCAATGTCCTGTATAGCCACAACATAATCTCCCAACTCCTATACTCAATGCACTGACCAATAAAGACAAGTGTACCAAACGCTGCTTTCAGTATCCTGTCTACCTGCGACTGAAATTAATTAATCTCAATTAATTAATTTCCGTGAGGAATGTAAGGAAAGTAGGAAATTACCCAAGCAGGGAATTAGGAGAGCTAGAAGGGGCCATGAAATGACCTTGGCACGTAGGGTTAAAGAGAATCCCAACGCATTTTATAGATACATGAAAAAACAAAAGGATAACTAGGGAGAAGTTAGGACCACTCAAGGATAAAGGAGGGTACTTATGCTTGGAGGCAAAGGAACTGGGTGAGATCCTAAATGAGTATTTTGAGTCAATATTCACCCATGAGAAGGATATGAAGGATAGTGAGATTAGTGTGGAGCATGCTAATATGCAAGGGCATTTTGAGATCAAGAAAGAAGTGGTGTTGAGTCTCTTGAAGAGCATTAAGGTGGATAATTCCCCAGGGCCCGATGGTATCGACACCAGGTTATCAAAAGATGCAAGAGAGGAGATTCCTGGGGCCTTGACCAAGATCTTTGTATCCTCATTCACCACTGGAGAGGTCCCGGAGGACTGGCGAGTAGCTAATGTTGTTCCTCTATTTAAGAAGGGAAATAGGGATAATCCAGGAAACTCTCTAGACTGGTGAGTCTCACAACGGTGGTTAGGAAGCTATTGGAGAGGATTCTTCGGGATAGGATTTACCCACATTTGCAAAAACATAGCCTAATTAGGGACAATCAGCGTGGCTTTGTGCAGGACAGGTTATGTCTTACTAACTTGATGGAATTTTTTGAGGAGGTGACCAAGGTGATCGATGAGGGTAGAGCAGTGGATGTTGTTTACATGGATTTTAGTAAGGCTGTCTCGACAAGGTCATCCAGAATATTAAGGTGGATGGGATTCACGGTGACTTGGCCACGTGGATTCAGAATTAGCTTGCCCATAGTAGACAGAGGGTAGTGGTGGAAGGGTGTTGTTCAGGCTAGAGGTCCATGACAAGTGGTGTTCTGCAGGGATCTGTACTGGGATCTCTGCAGTTTGTGATTATATATAAATGACTAGGATGAAAATGTATACGGGTGGGTTAGTAAGTTTGCCAACAATACAAAGATCGGTAGAATTGTGGATAGTGTAAAAGGTTGTCAAAGGATACAGCAGGATATAGATCAGTTGCAGTTACAAACGGAGAAATAGCAGATGGAGCTTAATCAGGGTAAGTGTCAGGTGCTGCACCTTGGGAGATCAAATGTTAAGGAAAAGTGTACACTTAATGACAGGACCCTGAACAGCACTGATGTACAGAGGGATCTTTGCGTTCAAGTCCGTAGCTCCCTGAAAGTGGCCACTCCAAGTAGATGGGGTGGTAAAGAAGGTGTATGGCATGCTTGCCTTTATTGGTCGGAGAATTGAGTACACGCATCAGGATGTCATGTTACAGCTTTATAAGAGTTTGGTTAGGCCACACTGAGAGATTTGCATTCAGTTCTGGTCACCACATTACAGAAAGGATGTGGAAGCTTTGGAGAGGGTGCAGGAGAGGTTTACCAGGATGCTGCCTGGATTAGAGGGTATGAGCTCTTAAGGAGAGGCTAGAAAAACTTGGGTTGTTTTCTCTGGAACAGTGCAGGCTGAGGGGAAACTTAATACAAGTTTATAAAATTATGAGATGCATAAATAGGGTTGGTGGTCAGAATTTTTTCCCCCAGAGTTGAAATGTCTAATATTAGGCAGCATGCACTTAAGATGCAAGGGGTAAAGTTCAAAGGAGACATGAGGGGCAAGTTTTTTTTTAAACAGAGTGTGGTAAGAGTCTAGAATGCACTTCCAGGGGTGGTGGTGGAGGCAAATACAATAAAAGGCATTTAAGGGTCTTTCAGATAAGCACAAAAATATGCAAGGAATGGAGGGATATGCACCAAGAACAGGCAGAAAGGATTAGTTTCGTTTGGCGTCGTGTTTGGCACAACATCATGGGCACAGGGCCCTTTCCTTGCTGTACAATTCTATGTTCTATATTCTACATTCTGAAGAATGGTTATCAGACCTGGCACGTTAACTCTGCTTTCTCTCCACAGATGGTGCCAGACCTGCTGATTTTTTTTCCAGCAATTTTAGTTTTTGTTATGTAGGTAAAGACTATTTCCACTGGTTGGCTCATTTGGGACAGTGGATACATTACCAAAGATTAAAGCTAGAATTACAAGAGTGAAATCAAAAGTCACTTGTACATACAAAGCATAGTAGAAGTTTGTAACCTTTTCTGAAAATAGAAATTAATGCAAGATCAGTTATTAAAAGTTTTAATTTATATTAAAATTCAGGCAGAGTATTGTTTGCCATAGGTTAAAAGATATGTACCAAAAGTATATGCAGTTAAATTGCAATCAGCAATTAGTTGGATGGTAGGACATGTTCTAAGAGCTGCTTGACCTCCTGTGGATTGCAGATTCCAAATTCTTAGACTTTGTGCTTTAGATGCTTTGATTAACCTGGATTTAACTCCATTGCTGTATTCACAGGAACTGAGTGATGCAGTCGGCAGCAAAAAAGGAGAGCTGGACAATCTGCAGGTTCAGGCCACGGCTGTAATCCTCAATACATCTCCTTTAGGTGCTGAGCACATCACCAAAGACTTGGAAGAGCTGAGGGCAGACTGGAATAGTCTGAGGCTGAGGTGCCAGCAAGATCAGGAGCCACTGAAGCTTGGACTTCATTCTGTGCTGGAATCCAAGTCAAGGGCTGAGCAGCTGGAGAGAGAAGTTGCCAAGTTCGCAGAATGGCTACAGAGCTTAGATTTGCAGCCCCCAGATGATGATGGGATGGAAACTGCATGGTGCAAATGTCTTGTAAGTTAGAAATTAAATCATATAATCATAAAATTCGACTGGAATGAGACCATTCAGTCAGTTTCCAGCTGAGCTAGTCTAATTGACATACCCTCCCCTAGAGTAATTTTATTTTCTCTTCAGGTAATTAAGCAATTCATTTTGAAAGCTATGTTTGAATTTGCTTCCACTGTACTCTCAGGTAGTGCATTCCAGTTCTTAAGTACATGTTGAGCTTTCTTATTGCCTTTCTCCTGAAATAGGCATCTTGCACTTCCTGAGTACTGGACTTGAAATATTAGCTCTGTTTCTCTCGTCACAAATACTGCCTGATCTGCTAAGTGTTTTCAATGTTTCCTGCTTTTATTTCAAATGTTAAGTATTTGCAGTATTTCCTTTTGTATTAATTTTCGAGATCCTGCTCTCCCCCTTCCTCCCCAACCCCCTCCAATCCATGCACTGGTCTGAAATGGGACCACTTTTTGTCCTTTGCACCTGGTACTCAGCTCAAAAACAAAATTTCTTATTTGGAGTTAATGTTTCAAAAAAGGTGCTGATGACTCAACATTGCAGAGTATAAAGTGTTCGGAATGGATAGGAATGCATGAAGGGTGGGTGGGATTGCTGTACTAATTAACAGTATGGCACTTCAAAAAAAAAACATAATTTATGACGATTAAGGTCGAAACAGAATGAGTATGGACTGAGGCAGGAGGTAAGGGGATAATAACATGAATCCATAGACCACTACAAGGGGAAGATAAGTGTAGCAAGGAAGAAGCAGCCAGGCCTATACAAATTAGAGTGAAGGCTAGATATAGAATAATGATTTGGGAGCTGTCAGCTTCTCCAAATAACCTGGCAAACAAGCAGAAAGAGTGAGTGAACCTTTTTCAGTATTTGCATAACTTGCGTCTTACTCAATTCTTACGAAGGCAAGAAGGAAAAAAACACTCTTGGATCAAAGATTGGGAAATGGCCAGGGAAGAAAAAAGAAGGCACTTTGGAGGAGTATCCGGTCAGGAATGATTATAACATATAGTTTAAGATAATGGGAAACAGCAAAATGGTGATGTTAATCGATTAGAAATCCCAGAGCCTGGTCAAATGCTCCAATGCCATGACTTTACATCCCACCTCAGTAATTGGGTATGTAAATTAATAGATTTGGAATGAAATATACAGTCTGATGAATAATGATGAAATCAGATCGTGATAAGTGTCCATGTGATTCATTGAAGACATTAGAGGTTTCCATTTTTTTGGTTCGTGAAACGTGGTGTTGCTGGCTAGACCAGCATTTATTGTCCAAACCCTGGTGAAGGAGCTGGGAAATTGGCTACTAAATTGCAGCAGTCTGTGGGCTGTAAGGATGCCCATAGTGCTGTGAGGGAGAAAATTTCAGGATTTTGACCGAGTGCAGGAATGGTGATACCGTTTCAAACCAGGATGGTATGTGGCTTTGAAGTCAACCTGCAGGTGGTGTTGTTCCCATGTACTTGTTGCCCTTCCCCTTGCCCTAATCCTTGTAGGTGTTACAGGTTGCAGGTTTAGAAGGTGCTGTTGAAAGAGCCTGGCTAAGTTACTTTCATGCATCAGGAGATGGTGCACATAACTGCAATTGTGTTGTTATGAAGGGAGTAAATGGTGAAGGTTAAGGTGGCTGATGGAGTGCCACTCAAGCAGGCTGTTTTGTCCTGGATGATGTCACAATTCTTGAGCCATCCAGTTAAGTGGGAAGTGTTGTATCATACTCCTGACTTGTGCATTGTAGATGGTGGACAGGCTATCAGAAGTCAGGAGTGAATAACTTGCTGCAGAATTCCCAGCCTCTGATCTACTGTTGTAGCCACAGTATTTATGTGGCTGGTCCAGTTTCTATTTAGTTTTAACCGCTAGTATAGTGGACGCCTCAGCAATGGTAATGCCGTTGAGCGTAAAGAGAGCATGGTTAGATTCTTTCTTGTTAGAAATGGTAGTAGTCTGGAACTTGTGTGGTGCGCGTGTTACTTGCTACTTGGACATTGTCCAGGTCTTGCTGCATTTCGACATGAACTGCTTTAGGACTTGATGAATTGTGAAAGGTGCTGAACGTTGTGCAGTCTTCAGCGAAGATCTGTCAGATTTCGGACCATAAGACATACATGCAGAAGTAGACTGTTCAGCCCAACAGGTTTTCTCTGCCATTCAATTAGTTTGTAGCTCATTTGAGAATCCTGAACGGCACTTTGCTGCCTTCTGAGATTATGACCTCTGGTCCCAGACTCTCCCACAAGGAGAAATAACCTTTCTGTGTTTACCCTGTCAAGTCTCCTACGAGCTTTGTCAATAAGGTCACGTGTCAATATTCTAAGTTCCACCAGCTCAGTCTACTCAACCTCTGCTGGTAAAGACAGTTCATCCATCTATGGGATCAGCCCGGGAGGCAATGGCCTGGTGGTATTTTCACTGGACTGTTAATCCAGAGACCCAGATAATAATATTCTGGGGACCTGAGTTCGAATCCCACCATGGCAGATGGTGGAATTTGAATTCAATAAATATCTGGAATTAAGAATCTAATGATGACCTTGAATCCATTGTCGCTTGTCGGAAAAACCCATCTGGTTCATTATTGTCCTTTAAGGAAGGAAACTGCCATCCTTACCTGGTCTGGTCTACATGTGACTCCAGACCCATAGCAATGTGCTTGACTCTTAACTGCCCTCTGGGCAATTATGGATGGGCAATAAATGTTGCCTAGCCAGCGACGCCCCCATGAATGAATTTTTTAAAAAAGCCTAGTGAGCCCTCTAATGGACTGCTTCCAATGTCAAAATATCGTTCTATAGATAAAGGACCCCAAAACTGTTCACAGTATTCCAGCTGCGGTCTGACTAGTGCCTTGTATAATTTTAGCAAAACCTCCCTACTTTTATACTCTATTCCCTTTAAAATAAGGCCAACGTTCCATTTGCCTTCTGTATTAACTGCTAAACTTGGGTGGTAGCATCTTGTGAATTGTGTGCAAGAGCTCCCAAATTGCTCTATTTTCTGCAGTCTTTCTCCATGTAACTTATATTCAACTGCTCTATTCAACAAGCCAAAGTGCATAACCTCTCATTGTCTCACGTTATATTCCGTCTGCCAAGTTTTTGCAACTTTTGACCTTAACCTGTCTATATTACTCTGCAGCCTCTGTGTCACTCTCACCACTTGCCTTTCCATTTATTTTTGTTCTGCAAACTTGGCAAAGTGCTTTCACTTTCCTCATTCAGGTCATTAATAAATACTGTCAGTAATGGTGGCCCCAGCACTGATGACTGTGGCACACCACTCATTACAGGTTGCCATCCTGAAAATGCATCCCCCATCCCCAACCTTATCCCAACTTTGCCTTCTGTCTGTTAGCTAATCCTCTATCCATGCAAATATATTATCTCAAACAGCTTGGGCTGTTATCACAACCAACATTCTTGACCAGCAACTGAACAGGACCAGCCAAATAGATAGAGTGGCTATCCAAGATTAGGTCAAGACTAGGAATATTGAGGCAGGTAACTTGACTCCTGTCTCCCAAAGCCTGTCCACCATCTACAAAACACAAGTCAGGAGTGTGATGGAATCCTCCAAACCTGCATGGATGAGTTTAGCTCCAACATTACTCGAAGCTTGGCACCATCCACAGTAAAGCAGCCCACTTGATTAGTACCACTTTCCACATTCACTCCCTTCACCACTACCGTGCAGTAGCTACAGTAGTAACATTTACAAGATGCATGTGGTATCTCACTAAGGCTTCTTTGACAGCACCTTCCAAACTCTCAACCTCTGCCACAGAGAAAGAGAAGGGCACCAGACGCGTGGGAACACCACAACCTGTAAGGTGTCCCAGGTCACACATCATCTCGACTTTAAACTGTATCACCATTTCATCACTGCCACTGGGTCAATTCCTGGAGCTCCCTTCCTTAATGGCATTGTGGGTGTACCAAAAAGACTGCAACTCATCACCACCTTGTCCAGGAGAAGTAGCAATGTGCAATAACAGCTGGCCCTGCCACTGATGACAACATCCTTGAACAAATCTTTAAATGCTGCCTTGATGTTGTGGAGTCGTCTAGAAGTCCATGTCAAGACCATAGCTTTGTTTGTATAAAAATAGTGTAAATGATTTGAACTTGGGGTGGAGAGTACAATTTAAACACCTGTGGATGAGACACACCTATTTTAACCCAAAGGTTTCTTCAGTTAAAAATTATTGTGGCCAGTGATTGAATTGAGACAAGCTTTACATTCAAACTTTCCAAATAAAATGCAAGTACAGGCAGAAAGACAAGAGTAAAATACTGTACTGATCATCAGATTAGTGCCTTTACATTATTAAGGTTTAAAGTGTAATTGTCATTAGAATTTGCAGCCAAGTGACATTAATGATTTGAACAACACCAATCTTCAGAAGGCAGGAGAGCTAGAGGAGAATGATATATTTCTTCAGGCAAAGTTTTAAAGATTCAGAACAATTTGATAGAGACCATCAGAACTTTTCAAAGACAATTGGACATGAAGAACGCTAATTTGCAGGAATTATGGAGCAAAAGCTTGAATATTCTGCACCTTCCTGAAGTCTGCTGCTTGCTAAGTCTTCATCTCTAACTGCTTGATGGTTTTGAAGAAGTTTGTTCCCTGTGCTCAAGTCCACGTCAGTAAAATGTCACTGAAGCTTGGTCTGCGCCACCTCATATCTTTTCCAATCTCAGAAAGATTTTCTTTCATCTCGCTTTTCTTTATGTCCCAGCTCACCAGGTCTTCAATTTTAGCAGAAGAGCCAAGAGTGGAAGAGTTTCAGCTTAAATTGAAAGAATTTTGCAGATTCTCTCAGAACGAAGAACAACTTTGTAACAAAGTCCTGAGTGTAATTCAAGATTATAAAAGGTAACAGCATGTTTTGATTCGAAACGAACTGTTGAAGTGCAGAGACTTTGGAAACACTGACGGGATCAGACAAAGTCAGCATGGATTTATAAACTTACTGGAATTTTTCAAGGATATAATGAATAGATTTGATGGGAAGGAGCAGTGCTTGTGGTTTACTTGGACTGTTGGAAGGCTTTCAATAAGAGATTAATGTGTAAAATTAAAGCGCATAGGTTTGTAGGGTAGTGGATAGAGAACTGGTTGGCAGACATGAAAAGAAAAAAGAAATAAGCGAGCTTTTTTACCTAATGGCAGACAGTAACTCGTGGGGTAGAGCAGGGATCAGTGCTTGGACCCCAGCTATTTACAAGATAAACTGAGTAGGAGGGTAACCTGTGAAGATGATGCAGAGATGCTTTCATGTAATTTGGACAGGTGAGTGAGGGGACAAGTGCATGGATAAATAATAGGTTATTCATTTTGGGAGCAAAAAACAGGAAGGTAGATTATTATTTGTGGTGATAGAACTATTGAATCCCTACAGTGCAGAAAGAGGCCATTTGGCCCATCAAGTCTGCTCCAACCCTCCAAAGAGCCTTTCACCTAGACCTGGCCCCAACCCTATCCCTGTAACCCTGCATGTTCCATAGCTATTCCACCTAGCCTGCACCTCCCTGGACACTGTGGGGCAGTTTAGCATGGCCAATCCACCTAACCTGCACATCTTTAGACTGTGGGAGGAACTGGAGCACCCAGAGGAAACCCACACAGGGAGAAAGTGCAAACTTCATACACAGTTGCCCGAGGCTGGAATCAAACCTGGGTCCCTGGTGCTGTGAGGCAGCAATGCTAACTGAGTCACCATGCTACCTTGGGAAAGGTGGAGGTACAAGGAGACGTGAGCATCCTTATCCACCAGTCGCTGAAGGTAAGCACGTAGATGGTGATGAGATGGAATGGTATATCGGCCTTCATAGCGAGAGGATTCAAGTACAGGAATAGGGATGTCGTCTTGAAATTGTTTAGAAGAGCATTGAAAGGTAATTTGATATTGGCGATCCAATTGTAAAGGGGATGTAGGAGCAGAGGGACCTGTGTACATAGGTGCACAGATCATTGAAGATGGCAGGACAGATGAAGCGAGCAGGTAGTAAAAAGCTTACAGTATTTGCTGCTTTATTATTGGTGTCATAGATTACAAGTGTAGATGCAAAAAGGATGTTTTCCTCTTATGAGAATGTATCAGACCAGAGCATGGGTATCGCAGATTTAAGATAGATGTGAAGAGGAAATTTTTCTATGGGGGCAGTGAATCTGTGGAATTCATTAGCATAGAGGGCTGTTGAGGCTGGTTCGTTGAGTACCTTCAAAACGGATTTTTAATGCTGGCGTTTCGGGCCTAGAAGGGTCTAGGCCCAAAACGTCAGCCTTTCTGCTCCTATGATGCTGCTTGGCCTGCTGTGTTCATCCAGCCCTGCACCTTGTTGTCTCGGATTCTCCAGCATCTGCAGTTTCTACTATCTCAGATTTTTAATGCTGTATTTGTCTATGGCTGTAATCAGGGAGCGTTATGGGGAAAAGGCAGGATAGTAGAGTTGAGGATGATCAGATCAGCCATTATGTCATTGAATGGTGATACAGACTTAAACAGACTTAGTATTTATGATTATTTGGAAAAGCACAGTTTGATTAGAAATAGTCAGCATGGCTTTGCGAGGGGCAGGTCATGCCTCACCAGCCTTCTTGTATTCTTTGAATATGTGACAAAACACATCGATGAAGGTAGAGCAGTGGATGTGGTGTATATGGATTTTAGCAAGGCATTCGATAAGGTTCCACATGGTAGGCTCATTCAGAAAGTAAGGAGGCATGGGATTCGGGGAAATGTGGCTGTCTGGATACAAAACTGGCAGTCCAATAGAAGACAGAGCGTGGTAGTAGATGGAAAGTCTTCAGCCTGGAGCTCGGTGACCAGTGGTATCCAGGGATCTGTTCTGGGACCTCTGCTCTTTGTGATCTTTATAAAGGACTTGGATGAGGAAGTGGAAGGGTGGGTTAGTAAGCTTGCAGGTGACACAAAGGTTGGTGGAGTTGTGGACAGCGTGGAGGGCTGTTGTAGGTTGCAACGGGACACTGAAAGGATGCAGAGCTGGACAAAGAAGTGGCAGATGGAATTCAACCCAGAAAAGTGTCAAGAGATTCATTTCGGAAGGTCGAATTTGAATGCAAAATACAGGGTTAATGGCAGGATTCTCGGCAGTGTGGAGGAACAGAGGGATCTAGGGGTCCACGTCCATAGATCCCTCAAAGTTGCGACCCAAGCTGATGGGGTTGTAAAGAAGGCGTATGGTGTGTTAGCTTTCATTGGCAGCGGAATTGAGTTTGAGGCGTGAGGTTATGCTGCAGCTCTATAAAACCCTGGTTAGACCACACTTGGAATATTGTGTTCAGTTCTGGTCACCTCATTATAGGAAAGATGTGGAAGCTTTAAAGAGGGTGTAGAGATTTACCAGGATGCTGCCTGGACTGGAAGGCAGGTCTTATGAGGAAAGGTTGAGGGAGCTAGGGCTTTACTCATTGGAGCGAAGAAGGATGAGAGGTGACTTGATAGAGGTGTATAAGATGATGAGAGGCACAGATAGAGTGGGTAGTCAGAGACTTTTTCCCAGGGTGGAAATGACTATTACGAGGGGGCATAATTTTAAAGTGATTGGAGGACGGTATAGCAGAGATGTCAGAGGTAGGTTCTTTGCAGAGAGTTGTGGGTGTGTGGCATGCACTGCTGGCAGTGGTAGTGGAGTCAGAGACTTTAGAGACTTTTAAGCGACTCTTGGATAGGCACTTGGAGGATAGTAAAATGTAGGGTATGCAGAGTAGATTGCTCTTAGTAGGATAATCGGTTGGCACAACATCATGGGCCGAAGGGCCTGTACTGTGCTGTACTGTTCTATGTTCTAAATGGCTGACTGGCCGCCTTCAGCTTCAACTTCTCATGGTCTTCTTTGTCAGTAAAGGACATTAATCAAGGATTAAGGAGAGCGGGCAAGAAAGTAGAGTTGAGGCCAAGATTAGATCAGCCCTGATTAGATTAAATGGCAGAGCAGGCTCAGGGACTGAATTCTCAGTTGAGGAAAAAAGGATCACATCTCAGAGTTACACCGGTAGAAGGTGGCATTATTGGAACGGATGCAATGGTGAGTACAAAGAAACTGGGAAAATGGATTGAATCCTTGCAGGAGGTGAGGAAATACAGTGGAGGTGGGAATTGGTGGGTTTGAAATGGATGATAGTCAACAACCTATCCTCAGAACTGGAAACAATGAAGTCAAGGAAGGGAAGAGTCATAGACGGACCAGGTGAAGTTGAGAAGGATGGAAATTGGAGACAAAACTGATGAATATTTCCAATTCCAGGCCAGAGCAGGATGTAGCATCTAAGACGTCATTGGAAAAAGCTTTTGCATACCCACAGCCACACCTTTGACTTGGTAAAGTTCCATTAACTTGTTTCACATAGGAACAGGAAGAGGTGTGTAGAAGTGCTTCCTAACATCTCTCTTGAACAGTCTGATCTGAATTTAGACTATGTTTCTAGCTTTAGAATCTTAACCAGTGGAACTAATTTTACCCTTTTTTTCTATTACCTTGGAGACATCAACCAGAACACCCCTTAACCTTCTGAATTCTACAAAGAGGTTTAATTTTTATAATCTCTTGTCATAACTTAACCCCTGAAGTCTGGGTATCATTCTTGTACACCTACCTTCTACTCTGTCCAAGGCCAATTTCTCCTTTGTAAGGTGTAGTGCCCAGATCTGTTCACAGTACTCCAAGTGGGTTTTAACCAGAGTTTTGTATTGTTGCAGCAAAACTTCTGTGTCCTTACGCTCAAGTTGTTCAAAGTAGGAATGAGTTCAGCCAAGCACAGGAGGGTGGTGGTGGCTGGGGACTGTTTAGGCCTCTTTTCAAGGAAGAAGCAGAGAGGTCTCTGACCATCCTGATGGAGGATGTGATATAGAGGGATTACGTACCTATTGTGAAGAGCTGGTGGCTAGTACCTGGAAATTGTGGAACTGACATAAAACATCAAATGATGCTTGACGGATCTTCAAATTGCACAGCACAGTTAAATGAATTCACAACTAATACGCTGTCACTGACTGAAGCTCCTTGACATTACTACAGTTCCTTCAGCCTCCCAATTCTCTTCAGCCTCCCAATCTTCTTGTGACATGCATCACTTAGGGAATCCTACTGTTCCATTTTTGCATTGATTATCAGATTTTGAATCATACCTGAGGGACCTTTTAGCTATTCCTCGGACATCCTTGAGATTCTTTCACCAACAGTTGCTGCTCCAATCTTGTTTTCTGTGGCATATAAATTTGTTAAAAGCACTTTCATCCTCACCTCTTCTGTCTGTAACTCTTCTATTGTGTTTGAGCCTGCATCCAGTATCAGGATGGTCGTAGAGTTGCACAGCATGGAAACAGACCCTTTGGTCCAACTCGTCCAGATATCCTAAATTAATCTCGGCTGATTTGCTAACATTTGGCCCATATCGCTCTAAACCTTTCCTAATCATATACCCATCCAGATGCGTTTTAATTGTTGTAATTATACCAGCCTCTACCACTTCCCTGGCAGCTCATTCCATACACACAGTACCCTTTGTGTGGAAAAAGTTGCCCCTCAGGTCCTTTTTAAATCTTTTCACTCTCACCTTAAACCTATGCCCTCTATTTTTGGACTCCCCCTAACCTGGGGAAAGGACCTTGGCTATTCACCCTATCCATGCCCCTCATGATTTTGTAAACCTCTGTAAGGTCACTTCTCAGCCTCCAATGCTCCAGGGAAAATGGTACCAGCCTCTTCCTGTAGCTCAAACCCTCCCATCCTGGTAACGTCCTTGGAAATCTTTTCTGCATGCTCACTAGTTTAACAGGGAGGCAGTTGGCAGGGAGTCCAGAACTGAATGCAATATGGTCTTGAAAGGTCCCAATCATTGAATTTTCCATC